CTGCAGCAGTGGGCTGAGTGTAGCAGAGATGATGAGGATGGCACTGGACAGGACAGTCTGAAGACTGTTGTCTCAGGGTCACTGTGAGTTGTAGGCAACAGCACCTACCTCCCTCACCACCAGGGGAAGCTCTGGTGGCGTAGCCTATGGAGAGTTGAGCTTCTCACCCATAGGCCACAATTCTCCGAAAGTCTCAATTCACCACTAGAGAAAGATGGGCCATCTCCTCACATGCGACTTACAGGCTCAGAAAACCCACTGAAGGGCCATGTGTGAGTTGGTTCTGACTTTACAGCAATGAGCAAGTGAGTGAGTGGCAGATTTACAAAACGAAGTCTAGCCAGGAAGTCTAGTTTCTCTCGTCTCTCTTCCCTTGTCACCACCTCCTATGGTTATGATTGTTGCTGTGTGCCTTTGGATCTGAGCAGACTCACAGCTGACCCTCCAGCAGGTTTTCGGAGGCAGTAAATCACACTCGAAGGACATTGCCCATATTTTTCCCATGGAGCAGCTGGTGGATTTGAACCCTGTGCCTTTGGGATTGTAGTACAGCTTCTTGGCAGTAGGCCACCAGAGTTTCCCACCTATTGTTTTTGTGTACCATAAAGTTGGAACCGACCCATAGCTGACCCTCTCGTGGGTTTTCAGAGGCAGTCAGTTGCATGGGAGGAGATTGTCCATCCTCCCACAGGGCAGCTGGTGGCCTTGAACTATGTGCCTTCAAGATTGTAGGCCACCAGAATTCCCTACCTCATACTAGGTAACCTTTTTTTTATTTTTTAAAGTTTTGGATCTGTACTCTGGAAATTTTGATACATTAACATTTCTTTTTTTTTTCTTTTTTTTAAGGAGGAGTGCTTATGATGCCTTTGAGCTGTAGCGCTGGAGAAGAGTGTTGAACATACCGTGGACTGCCAGGAGAGCAAACAGATCCGTCCTGGAGAGAGAGGGTGAAGTCAGGCTGCTTCCAGGAGGCAAGGACGCTGAGGCTCTGTCTCACATACTTTGGGCATGTGGCCAAGACCACTCCTTGGCAAAGGACATCGTGCTCTTAAGGGTGGAGGGACAGTGCAGGAGAGGATGACCTAGGATGAGATGGATTGACTCAGTGACTGGAGAAATGGGATTAGATCTGTCAGCATCGATGAGATTGGCTCAGGATAGAGCAGGGTTCAGAGCTAATGTTCATAGGGGTCACGCTGAGTCACGGGCTACTCGACAGCACATAACAACAACAACAACTATATGTCTGTACTTCACTTGATACTTTGATGTTTAAAAATTGCAAGGGACATTGACCTTACTTACCTTCATACAAGTTTATGATCTAAAGAAAGGGTTTTATATAGAATTTTTGGAAAATAATTTAGTACAAGTGGCTGAAGTCATAGTATAGAGATTTTTCTTTCAGTTAGGCTAGGAAACTTTTTTTAAAATTTTATTATTTTTTTGTGTGTGTGGACTGTCAAATCGGATCTGACTGGTATAGGAGGAAACTGCCTTCTCCTGCAGAGCATCTGGTGGATTCGAACCACGTACCTCTGGGATTGTAGTGCAGTTTCTTGCCACTAGGCCACCAGAGCTCCCTTTAGGCTAGGAAATTTAACTTATTGCCATCAAGTCCAAACCAACTCAAAGACAATCCTGTAATGGGGGTGCAGAGGCTGTAAACTGAACAAGAGGAGATTGCCAGTCTTTCTCCTGAAGAGTAGCTGGTGGATTCAGGAGGCTGAATGGTAAGAAGCTGCGCTGCAATCCCAGAGAAACACAGTAAAATCTGCCTGCTGCTTTGCAGTCTCCTTCCATGCCATTTACTCAGGAGGGTCAGCTACAAGTCCGTTCTGACTCTGTGGCATAAAGCATCAATGACAACAGCAAATTTAGGTACATGTAATAAGTACTCTGGTAGCCTAGTGGGTAAGGAATTGAGCTGCCAACCCAAAGGCAGGTGGTTTGAATCCACCAGTTGCCTCACAGGACAATGATGGACAGACAGTCCCCTTCCATACAAGTTACAGCTTCTGCTGACCTGCTGATGGGTCATCTGTACGTTCCCATGTGACTTACAGTCTCTGAAAACCCACTTGGGTCAGCTATGAGTTGGTTTCGACTTGATGGTATTTAATAACAATCAGACTTACTCTTGGGAAGAACATATTTATAAAGTAGTGCTTTAAGAACACCGGTAGATCTCGTGTTTGATACTGATCAAAATAGAGCAAGATGTCTTTCTGTGAGCTAAAGTAACAAGTGTTTGTTTAAAGAGTGATACAGGTGTCGCTTTGGGAATGGAAACCCTTAAGTGGTGCAGATGGTTAAGCTAACTGAAAGGCTGGTGTTCAAACCCATCCAGAGACACCTTAGGAGACAACTTAGAAATCTGTTTCTGAAAGTTCACAGCCTTGAAAACCCTCTGGAGGACAGCTCTCTCTGCACACATGGATCTCCAAAGCCGACTCATCGGCAACTGGCAAGCAGAGCAAACTGAACAGAAAGACTAGATGAGGTTTCTGAAGGAACAATCTTAAGGAGCCTTAAGATTTTTTCAGTGGCAGAGCTTAGAAAAGAGTTAGATAGGGAGGATACAGCATAGGTGTTTGTTGTTGTTATGTGCTGTCAATTCACTTGTGACTCACACTGACCCTCTGTACAACATCTCTGAACCCTGGTCTATCTTGAGCCAATTTCATTGTCTCTGACACACCTACCCCCCTTTAGCCAGTCACTGAGTCAATCCATCTCATCCAGTGTCTTCATCTTCTACACAGTCCCACCACCCTTCCAAGCTTGATGTCCCTCTCCAAGGACTGGTCCTTCCTTGCAACATGCCCAAAATATGTCAGACAGAGCCTCAGAATCCTTGCCTCCAAGGAGCATCCTGGTTTCACCCTTTCTCGGACAGACCTTTTTGTTCTCTTAGCAGTCCATGGTATGCTCAATACTCTTTCTCAGCACCACAAGGATTAGAAATGTTTTCGTTAGATTGAGAAATAAGAACTATGAAAAAAGTTAACTATCTCTTTATAGTAATAGTTGAAGATAGAGAAAAGAAACCATATTGGAGGGAGAAAAGGTAAAAACATGGTGACACATGTCACAAATTCTAAGAAAGCCCACACTTAGGAGCGGGGAGAGAAGAGAGAAGCCAGCAAGAGAGAGGTAGGAGTCAGAGGTACGATATTTTAAAAATAAGAAAGTGAAGTTTCACTTAAACTCGGGACTAAGTTCTCAGGAAGGGTGATAATCCCCTGTGGAAATGCTGTCAGGTTCTAACTATGGCCTGCTCTCCCAGGCCACATCTCAGCTACTTCTGTCTGCTCTGTGTTTACAGATCTGCTCATCAAGAAGAGAGGCTTTCTGGTCTTCAGGGGGGAAGTGCTCATAATATTGTCCACAATGCTCATTGCCCCTTGAGCTGGCACTAACAGTAACTTTGTCACCATTTGTACCACAGTGGTATCCTAAGGGTTGCAATGATTCGGTTTGTGTTTTGCTTCTCAAAAGTAAAAGGTATTTTCCCTAGGACTTTGCCGTCAGAGAACAGTTTGGCGTCTGTATCATTTTTGGCATCAGCATCAAAAGGTTTCCAGCGTGTGCCTGCATTGTAAATGTCTGATAAGGGGTAGATGCAGTTTCATAGAGGGGCTTTGGATCCCTAAATTGATGATTTTCCCCTCCAAACCACCTTCTTTGAGACAGCAGGTGCATTAATGGTTGTGCAACTTTGGGGAGTCCCTTTAGGGAATTTCCTGTTTTTCCCTTTTCCATTTCACACCCATTCCTTGCTCCTGCCGCTACCATCTGCTACCTCTTTTCTCCTCTTCAGCACTGGCTTCTTCACACCCCACTCCCACGCCCCTTCTATCTCCCTCCGTCTGTCCAACAGGCCTGTAACTTAGATTGCTCCAGTGCTCATACGTGGATCCGAGAACTTTCTCTTTTCTAGCAACTCGCTGAGCTCAAAGGAGACAGACTTACACAGCCTTTAGCCAAGGTTCCCTGTGACCTTGTCAGACATCCTGAATAGATCCCTAGGTGATTTCAGAGAGCATTTTAGGAAACACAGGACACATTTTCAGTGTGCAAGGTAAGCTCGCTCTCGGGCTATGAGTTACCCTAGAGTTCTTATACCCATAAGAGAAAACACAGTGGCCTAGTGGCAAGAAGCTGTACTGCAACCCCAAAGGCGAGAGTTCGAATCCAGCAACTGCTGTACAGGAGAATGGGCAGTCTCCTCCCGTGTGATTTACTGCCTCTTAAAACCCACTGGAGGGTCACCTGTGGGTTAGTTCTGACTTGAAAATACACAACTACGAAGTTAAACTACACATTAAAGATCAGTGCCTATCTGATTGAATGTCATCAGTTAAGGATAAAATACCTAGCAATAAAACTTGCTGTTGAAATTACTTAGAAATCTACATTAACTATCTGGACAGCATAGTAGAAAGGTTCTTGTCAAAACCAAGTTCTCTCTTGATTTTTTTAAAATGTAGAAAATGTGCATCTTTAAAAATGAAATTTTGAATATATGTAATCTATGCCATTGACACACCATTGACCTAATCTGGAGTGACTAGAACTCTTTTAATGAAAACTTAACAGTGTATGAAGCTGAATATCTGACTGTTGTAGCATTGGAATATTTGACTATCCATTTGTATGACTGTGTTATTTTCTTCATTTTTTTTAAGATGTGATTTCAGAATTAAGTTAGTGCTCTATGCAGTTTTAGAGGAAACACTTTCTATATGAATTACTGGCATTTACTAACTAAAATGAAAAGAACTTACGCCACCACCAGCCTTGCACTTCGAAACCAGGATATCTGACCCATGATTGGGTCTCCAGGCCCAGTGTCCTCTCCTCAGTTGATACTATGTATCCAGAAAAGGAATAAAGTGAGAAACCTGGGCTAGAGGTATTGCTAGCACAGGTGTTATTGGTATGTGTTTATGTTAATATACAGTCTAGTTTTAAAGTGCTGGTTTCTATTACAGGATATTGAAGCAGCAGAAAAGTCTCTCCAAACCAGAAGTCAGTCACTCCCACAGCCTGAGATGGTTTCTCTTGAGGTGAGACTCCTTACACATGTCAAAAGACAAATTCTAACCAGTAAGCAAACTAAACCCATTGCTACTGAGTTGGGATCCTGTAGTGTCTGAGGTTGTGCATCTTAATAGGGGAAGACTGTCTCTTCCTGGCCAGTAGATTTGAACTGCTGACCTTTCTGCTACCAGGCCATTGTGTTAGGTGGTGTCGTCAGGTGCTCTTGAGTCAGTTGCAAGTCAGAGCAACCCCATGAGCAACTGACGGGAGCCTTGCGCTGTCCTGCACTTTCCTCACAATCTCTGCCATCTCAGGCACACTGTCCCCGTCATTGGGCCAGTCCGTTTTGTTGATGGGCTTCCTCTCTTTCGATGAACTTGTTTTCCCAGCACAATGTCTCTTTCTGAGAACTGACTCCTCTGATAACATGCCCAATGTATATAAATTTTATCATCCTTGCCTCTAAGGAGCACCCTCATTGTACTTCATCCAAGGCATATTTGTTTGTTCTTTTGGCAGCCCATGAGATATTCCATTCTCTGCCAACACCACAATTCAAAGGCATCAGTTCTTTTATCTTCCTTATTCATCTCCTAGCCAACATTTCACTTGCAACATAAAAAAAAAAAAAAAAAAGGAAAACACCATGGCTTGGATCAGGCACACCTTAGTCTTTACACTGGCATCCATACCCTCTGGCACTATAAATAGGTCACTGACTGCTGCTTCCATAAGTGTTAATTGTATGTCCAAGTAAAATTTAAACCATACACCAAAACCCAAATCTATTGCTGTTGAGAGGCTGTGAGCCTTTAGAGGGATTCTTCTCCATGAAGAGGGTAGGGTTTCTGAATAGCTGACCTTTCAGTTATCAACCCAACATGTAATGCACTGTGACACTTCTTATGTGCCATCGAGTTGACTATGACTCATAGTGAGCCTGTGCAACTAGGGCTCCTTAAATTGAACAATGATTGCAGGTAATTCCACTCAGTACACATGGGGTCACCGTGAGTCAGTTAATTTGATAGCATAAGATGATAACATGTATATCCCAGAAGCTGCTAGATTTGAACTACTGACTTTTCTGTTCAAGGAAGGATGTGACTGACTGACTGTTCTATACTCACAGTGTTGTGTTTTATGCATATTGGATAAATGATAACTTTTAAATTAAAGTGGAAATGTTATACAGATTCTATGTGTTTTTACCAGTTAGAAGCAGTTATCCTGTTAAACCAGAACACACAATATACACAAAATCTTAAGACAACAACACACCTACCCAGCACATTTTTCTGTAAGCTTTTATGACCTGTCACCAAAAATGTCACCAAAGCCATTTATGTGCATATTGGGGTGGCTTTTGATGGCTTTTATTTGCTCAGTTCAAGAATAGGGACAATGGTTGACAAAAATAATCCATGGTAGGTGTCTGTGACTAATGTGAACTTAATTACATATATAGAATAATGTTAATTTGTATTTTTAATGACCTTTCCCAAATGGAATTTTGCCTTTTCAAAATTAAAGGCTGAGAATTTGCACCTAAGTCTCTGTGTCCTATCAGGTGATAAGGCAATAATAATAATAAGGTAGTAAGAAATAGGTAATAATAATAATAATAATGTAATAAGAAAAGCTGAGAGACAACAACTTCATTACAGAGCTGTGCCTTGGCTGTGTCTTTTTGTTCAATTCTGCAGTGCCTGAGGCTGGCAAGCTCAGGGCCCACACAATAGGGGTTAATCCAGCCCTGAATGGCTGAGGAACTCCCAACCACAGGCCTCCGTGGGTATTTTTCTTAGCCAGCCTTGTCCCGCAGGATGACCTTTATTTAAGTCTCAGGCTGTGTCTCAGACCACATGCAAAGGTTGTATAGACATGCAGAATCCCTCAGCATTTTCCTCTCAGGAACTTGTCTGTTTGGATCCCCATCGTGCATGCTCCTCAGAGCGTCTAGTTCTTGAGTCAAGTTTCCCAACATGAGTGAGTGATGAGCTAATCAAAAATGCCCCGCGGTTGGCAGCTGGGTACTCTTAGGGCAGGAACTAGTGAAGCTCAGCTTCTACAGCCTAAAGTTGACTAGAAATTGCTAGTCAGGCCAATAAATCATCATCTCCATTTCCAAGGTGCTCATACCTAATATGATGAGATGGTGCGGACACAGTAAACTTGGGAGAACTGGACTCCAGAGTATGACCCTGTTCTGCCATGGCTCTAACGGTTCCCACCTTGAATAAGGAGCTATTTTCTACCAAATAGCTTTCTTCACTGAAAGCTTTCTACCTTCCACAGGTCTCAGTTTTCACAGTAATATATACTTTTACTATCTTTTTCCACACATGATTAGGGGGTCAGTTTATCTGAATCTAATAGTTACACGCTAGCCAAACATTAACTACGTCCTAGCATCATGCTTGGGAGGGCGGAGGGCCAGCGCAGGAGAGGAAGGCCCTGGATGCGATGGATTGACACAGTAACTGTGGTAATGGGGGGTAGGTGTGTCAGAGGCAGTGAGATTGGCTCCGGACAGGGCAGGGCTCAGAGCTACTGTGCATAGGGTCATTCTAAGTCACAGTTGACTTAAACAACAATGCCAGTAATATACTAAGTAGGTCAATTCCTTTTCTCATTCTGGTTGAAATATCTTTATGTTAAATTCTGAAAACATGTATTCATGTTTAACCATTTCATTATATATAATTGCAATATGGATAATCATTTGGCACAAGATTTGGGACACTAAAAAACACACACACACACACACAAAAAAACCCAACAACAAACCCAACCCATTTAATTACTTCATAGCCACAGATGCTATGACTGGCAATAATCACCAGGTTGACCACAAGAGGGCGTGTAAAATCACAGTAAAATTCCCCAATCTGTAATTCTGCCAGTTTCTGGTTTTACTGAGAAATTTGAAAATTATCACTAGTAAGTAGCCATTTTTTTCTAAAATCAGCATTCATTTGTGTAGAATTATATTCTATGTGTATATGTGTGTGCCTCTGTGTGTACATGTGTGTAGGTTTGCACACACATACACATTTAGTAAACATTTAAAGTATTATTAAAGGTCAACTTCAACTGGTTTGTTTTTTTACTTTTGGATGTTGTTTTTTTCCCCCAGACTCATTACTGGGAATCAGTAGAAGAATATATTCCCAACTGGGATCAGTTTCTTTTAGGAAAAGCACGATATCCTGTTGGTGTTGAAGAGCTAAATGGAGCAGAAAACAGCACTCAAAAAGCAGAACAGCAATAATGTCTTCATATTCTGTTTCAAGAACCTGTTTAGCAAAGCTTAATATAAAAGACTATGCATGTTCTTGTAGGAACTTTAGGGACCAGATACTTGTACACCGTTAGCGTTGAAGTACTGTCAATGAAAATGAAGAGAACCCAATGGAAAGTGTCAGACTGTCACAGAGAGTCATTACCAGGTGGAGTTTGTGAATCTGTGTTCTGCTAAATCCATGGAGCTCTGAAGAAGTGCTGCTGATACATAGACTGCTAATCAAATGAGAGTCCTGTGTGTCGCTTCAAAATTCATTTTATTATTCATCTAAAGTATGATTTGTGTACCATACATATAGTCAGAACCAACTCATAGCTGAGCCACAGATTTTCAGAGGCAGTTAATCACAGGGGAGGAGACCGCCCATCCTTCTCACAGAGCAACTGGTGGTCTCATACCACGTGCCTTCAGGATTGTAGCACAGCTTCTTGCCACTAGGCCACCTGCCCATCCTCCTCCCGCAGAGCAGGTGGAGGCCTTGAACCGCGTGCCTTTGGGATTGCAGCACTTCTTGCTACTAGGCCAAGCAGAGCTCCCTCTAAAATATACTAGTTGTCAATTCTCATTTTAACTTTTGGCACATGGCCAGAAGAGACTGGTCCTTGGAGAAGGACATCATGCTCAGAAGGGTGGAGGGACACAGCACAGAAGATGACTCAAGATGGACTGATACAGTGACTGGGGCAGTGGGAGTTGGTGTGTCTGCATTAGCGAGACTGGCTCAGGACACAACAGGGTTCAGAGCTGCTGTCCATAGGGTCGCTACGGGTCTCAGGCAACTCAGCTGCACATAATACAACAAGGTTTTTACATTCCACTTATTTAATCATGGGGATGAAAACATGTATTCATGCTTAATAATTTCATGATATCTAATTGCAGTACGGATCGAGATGGTTGTCTGCTACTACGTTGTGGTTTGTTGTTTGGTGCCATCAAGTCACCTACAGCTGAGGGACACTGAGTATTAGGTCAGAACCTTACCCAGTCCTGTGCCATCACTGACACCCACTGATACAGTCACTGTGTCCTTTTCCTAAAGGTCATCTTTTTCAGTGAACTGTTAACCTTTTTCAGCATGATGCCTGTCTGCTAGGTCTGTCCCCTCCTGACAACATGCCCTGAGTGAGTGAGATGAGTTTTACTCTCCCTGCCTCTCAGGAACACCTGGTAGCTTGGCCTCCAGGACAGACTGATTTGTTCTTTTGGCAGCCCTTACGATAGTCATTAGTTTTCACCAACACTGCAGTTCACAGGCATCGATTCTCCTGCGACTGTCGTTTCTTTTCATTTAGAATAACGAGAGTACTTGTTAGACAATATGTATGTAAGACTTTAACCTCTCAGGTAATCGAGCCTTTGAAAATTCTGGAGCAGAAATGACTGAGTATTCGTAAGTAACCAGTTGCAGGAGAGTCCATACTTGATTTTGAACAAGAATACCTGTTAATGCTGAAAAGTGATTGCTGGATTTTATCTTGCTTTTTTTTCCTATTTGTGTGTGTGTACCGTCAAATCAGATCTGACTGGTACAGGAGGAGATTGTCCCTCCTTCCCCTGCAGAGCATCTGGTGGATTCAAACCGTGCACCTCTGAGATTGCAATGCAACTTCTTGCCACTAGGCCACCAGAGCTCCCCGATTTTATCTTGCTTTTTTAGGGATTACCAGTTTTGTGAATGCAAATAACTTCCCTGCCACCTTTTAATCTCTGAATGTCCCCTTCCAATCCCTTTTACATTATTTCTAAACTGGTCATTGAGAAGTTTTGCATCATGATGTGAACTTTAGTTTACCTACTTGGTGCGCGCGCGTGTGTATGTGTGTGTGTTGTTTGTTGTTATGTGCCATCGAGTCTCTTGTGACTCATAGTGACCTTATATACAACAGCTCTGAACCCTGCTCTACCTGTGCCAACCTTATTGTCTCTGACACCTACTCCCATGACCCTAGTCACTGAGTCAGTCCATCTCGTTGGTCTTCCTCTCTTGTGTGGTCCCCCCACCCTCACAAGCAAGTCTCTCCTTGTAACATGCCCAAAATATGTCAGACGAAGCTTCAGAATCCTGCCTCCAAGGAGCAGGCTGGATTCACCCTCTCCAGGGTGAACTTGTTTGTTCTAGCAGTCCACGGTATATGCAATACTCTCCTCCAGCACCACAGCTCAAAGGCATCAATTCTCCTATCATCTGTAGTCATTATCCAGTTCTCTGATGCATAGCAAGTAGTTGCAAAGACCATGTGCAAATTCTGGTAGGGGTGTGTCTCTATGGGTGGGTTCTGACTCAATGATGTTGAGGGCTTTTTTAGGTAGATATATAACATGTACAGTCTCACTTAACAAAGAGTCTGCTATGTTGAAATTTAAGAGTTTATATTTTCAAGTGGTTTGTGTTTGTAAATGAAAGTAATAGAGCAGGCTTTTTTGTTGTTTTTAAAGAAGCTGTATTACAGTGTCCACTGTGTTGTTAAGTCCTTTAACTGCCATTTTGGAAATGTCCTGTTGAGCGGGTGTTGGTGTGGGTAACAATAACTTTGTTTTCATAATATGTGCTGGCAGCTTAGCACACTTCTCTGCAGTGTTAACAGTTGTAATTAAGGAATAAACAGCACAGGGTGTCAGTCCGATGACAATTTCATCTATAGTGTCACAATACAAAATGTCACAAAATATTAGAACTGTTATGTAACTATGAAAAGTCTCAGCTGAATAAAGCCTTGTAGAAGGGAAGACCGAAGAATGGCATAGGGAGTAAAACCACCTTACACCTCCCCTCAAGAATGTTTTCTAAAGATTAATTGGTATTTTTCTTTTCCTGTTACTTTACAATTTGGTTCCTAGCCATCCAGTTGAGTTAGCAAGAGAATGCAGATTCCCCACCCCCACCCCACACCAGCTTTGAATTGGTAAACAGATTTTGATGCAATAGAAAGGGACATGAGGAAGTTGTTTTGTTTTGGGTTTTTTTACATCCAATCTTCTTTCCCAGCATATGCACATAAGAAGGTGAATGAAGCATGTGAAACTTATTTCTCTTTAGTCAAGTGGAAAAAAAAAAGGCTAAACATTTGTTAAGATGGTAAAATATTGTGTCAAGCAAGTAGGCACATTCCAAAATTAAATTTTGATACGTTAACGTCCTCAAATATTTGAGCATACACTTCCTTTGAGATCTGTAAATTAAATCACCAGCAGGTTAGATTAAAATACAAAATGAATGGCAGCCTCACCAGCTTTGAAAAGGTTGGTGGGTTTTCCCCCCTTCTCCTTAATTGATTGACTCCCTAAATCATAAATGGGAAAGCACACATTTAATATACCCTGGGTTACTATTTAGGGCAGAAGGGAAGGTATTTCTACACTTAAGCTGTACCATTTTCCCATTTCTAGTTAAAAGCTTAAAAACTCCCAGAGATAACTTATTCCTGGCCCCTACAGATCTTTTCTCTCCCCTCCTGGTAGACTGTAACAGATTGCACCACATGGTGTATGTTTTAAAAAAAAAAATTTTTTTTTTCACCCATAGAGACCTGGGCATCCCATAAAATGGGCTTAATATTCTCTCATGGTAAATTCACTTCACATAGGAATTTTCAAATACTGCTTTGGGGAGGAGGGAAGAACATTATATAATAATGTACATATTTATTTGCACATGATTAGTAGGGATCAGGCAAAGAAAAAGAAATGGCATCTACTCATAGCCTTCCCCTTAACTCCATGTCTCCACCTTACTCCACAGTTCCTGCTGTTCTCTCCACAAAAGTCTTGGATTTTCCAGAATGGCGTTTTCAAAATAAAGGTCATTCCAAGGACTTCTTTCTAGAGTTTGTCTTATTACAGTGTTGCAAATGGGTAAATCTGCAAAGCTCATTTTCTGCCGAAACCCTTTTGGTATATGGAATTCTAATACGCTAGAGATCAGAAAGGGCTGCAGCTTTTCCCTAGAAAAGATGCAGTTTAAGTACTAAGGAAAACGCCTAATACTTGAAACCTGACACTCAGTCTTTCTTGTCTGTAGAGAGAATGTTAAGGATGGTGACATCACATACATGCAGCTTTTCTCTGTTTTATGCCCAAGTCTTAAGTCAGCTTAACGCTTTAGGATAATCTTTAACTTCCTTTACATCCTTAGTTTCTGTGCTTTATCTTTTTTCATATTAGCAATAATCTAAGGTTACAAACTTCCAACTCGTGGACAGCTCCTACTTACCTTTTGTTGTTGTTGTTGTTGTTGTTGTTGTTGTGTACTGTTGAGTCAGAACCCACCCACAGCTGACCCTCCAGTGGGTTTTCTGAGGCAGTTAAGCAAACCGAAGGAGATTGCCCGTCCTTGTCCCACGGAGCAGCTGGTGGAAGGCTTGCAGTGCAGCTGCTTAACCACTAGGCCGCCTGAGCTCCCTTTGTTGTTGTTAAGTGCCGTCCAGTTGCAGGCGACTCATAGCGACCTTATGAAGGAGAGTCCTCAACACTTAGGTGCCTTTTATCCTCTCTCCAGGTTCATAGGGTTTCTTTCAGGAGGCAAGCTATTATGGAAGTGGATGCCACTCCTCCTTCCAAGCTTGTTTTAATCGGGGAGCTCCACCCCACACTGTCCGCACTGGGTAGCCAACCATTAACATATTTGACACATCAGTGTCACAGTGTTCAACCTCACAACAACCACAAGTTACCGCTGTACAGCAAGTGGACACCAGGGCTATATGACCTAGAGGAATGTCTGAACAAAAACAATGAAAGACAGGCCCGAGGGCCGCAGATTAAAAGTCACCCACCTTTGGCTTGGTAGCATCGCTTTCTGTCCACGGGGCTAGCTGGTCTCTCTCTCTGTTGATGTTATTGTTTTAAGTGCCATCAAGTCGCAGGCGACTCATATAGCAACCCTATGAAGGAGAGTCCTCGACGCTTGGGTGCCTTTCTTCCTCTCTCCAGGTTCATAGGGTTTCTGGAGGCAAGCTATTACGGAA